CTCGACTCATGGCAGCCCAGCTCCAGGTTGAGCTGTTGTTCAGCATCTTAGCTGTAGAGGGCAGTGTCACTGGCCCTCCCTCATATGTGGGATCCGAACCGGGGCCCTCTGGCGTCCCAAGCCAGTTCTTAACCATCGCGCCGCTCCGCCGGGCCAGTCTGCAGTCTTCTTGATCTCTCCCTCTGCTGCTATCCTCTCCCAGACTTTCTCCCTCTCCTGTCTGTCAGCCTTCAAACCCCAAATTTCTGCTACTTCCCTCGTGCAGACAAACTCAGTGTGCTTTGCATCTTCACCTTCCCTCTTTCTGACCATGTCGCACTCAAAAAGACCCATCAAGTTTTTTCTAGACCCCACCTCAAGAAAAAAATACTTTGGGCCGGCCGAGTGGCGCGATGGTTAAGAACTGGCTTGGGACGCCAGAGGGCCCCGGTTCGGATCCCACATATGAGGGCCAGTGACACTTCCCTCCACAACTAAGATGCTGAACAAGAGCTCAACCTGGAGCTGGGCTGCCGAGAGTCGCCTGCGACGGCGTAAGCTGCAGCCCCTGTGGCAGTGGGTTGCCATGGGCTACCATGTGTAGCCAGCAGCCAACATAAGTAGCCAGCAGCCGCAGTGAGGGTCTGTCCAGAAGCCGGTGACTGATCTGCCTCGTCCGGGAAGAGCGCAATGATGGTGCCAACTTGGGCCAGTGAAGCAACGTCCTCCACAACTAGACTGAAGAACAAAACTTGTCTGTTCCCCTTCCCCCAATTCCCCAGCACTGTTCCTATCCCCCAACTCCCCAATAAAAATTAAAAAAAAAAAGAAAGATTTTTGTTAAAAAAATATAGCTAACATACAACATTATATTAGTTTCAGGGGTACACCATAGTTATTCAACATTTATATACCCAAAGGAGTGATCACCATGATAAGTCCAACAACCATCTTACACTGTACCATGCTATCACAATATTGTTGACTATATTCCCTATGCTGTCCATTACATCCCCATGACTTATTTGTTTCATATCTGGAAATTCATGTCTTATTTCTAATCCACACAAATCCCCTGTGAAGTAGTAGATGGTGTCACTCCCATATTACAGATGAGGACACTGAGGCTCAGGGAAGATTAAGTGACTTGCCTGAGTTACTATTCAACAGGGTTTTGAACGAGACCTGCTCGCTCGATTGTATGTACCTGGGAGGATTGGGTGGGAGACGAAATAAAAAGATAGAGACAAAAAGCTGGGAACAGGGGGTCCACTCAATACTGATGGCAGAGAATGGCCTTGTTTATTATTTGTATACAGCTTTTATAGCAAAAATAACTTTCCTTAGGTAGGGGGTTTTGGGACCTTGAGGGAGTAGCCCCTCCTCTCAGGGAACAATTTCCTTGGAAGCAATCTTCTCGAAGCGAGACAAAACAAAGTATAGCACGTAGAAACGATTAACAGGTTGGCCTTCCTCTCTGTAACTTTTACGGTTGTCTGTGACGTTGGCTGTTCCTTCTTCAGGGGCACAGCGGAGATGAGATCTACCCAGCAATCTTTCCACACAGCTCCCCAAGGCCTAAGAGCCTGTCAGCTTTCCAGCTGTCAGGCTTAACCCTACTGCAGCTCTGGTCTGTAACTTTTAGGCTGCTCTAAAGCTGCTCTCGAGCTGCTCACCCTAACATGGAGGCCTGTAGCTTGCCAGTTTACAGCCTCAGTGTCCCTGGCTGATCCCAGTCGGCTCCCCACAGGGTTTGACTGTGAACCAGTGCCTGCCTGATCCCTAAGTAGATGTATCTCCACACAATATGGTAGGTAACTTACCACTGCCATTCCTGGAAACCTTTCACTCGTGCCTCATTCCTTTATCTCCGTTCTCCTCAGGAACCCACTACAATGGGTTGGTGGAAGGACAATTTCTGGATCATCTTAGCTGTGGCCATGATTGTTGTCTCTATGGTCCTGGGCCTCATCCTGTACTGTATCTGTAGGCGGCTGCTTAGACAAGGTAATGGCCTTCTCACTTGGGCAGGTGGAGGGGGTAGAGGAGTGGTTACCAGTGCATTAGGGCTCCTTTAGAGCAAGAAGATTAGTTCTGCACCTGTATCGGCTGAACTTTGGATTAAGTCCGTGCATTCTGGATTTCAGTTCGAGCCCTGCTCCTACCTTGTATCCCTGGGCCTAGGTTTCCCCATGTGCAGAAGGGAGGGAGGTTAACTAATGTCCAAGAACTCTTCCAGCCCTAGGAGCTTGGGTGGAAGCAGAATCTGTTTCAACGCACACTACCACACTACGCCCCAGTGCTCTCTCTCTTCAACGTGGCTGCTGATCACAGCATCTGGTCTCTGAGACTGGAAAGAGAACACGAGTCTATGGAATGTCAAAAGCTATCATGGTACCAAACCCATCGAGTTGTATACATTAAATGTGTACAGCTTTTTTGTACGCCAATCATGTCTCAATAAAGTAGTTTAAATACAATGATCTTGGGGTGTGAAAATAGACTCAATACATAATCAAGCAGTTTGGCCACCATGATCGCCTCCTCTAATGTCATACTCCGAATTCTGGTATTATATTCACCTTGGCCAGAGGTTCCTGGCATCCTCAGATATAAATAAGCTGCTACCTGGTGATTACTACTAACTTTAGATTGTCTCCAAGTGGGTTTTCCATTTTGGCAATTCATCTCCAGAAACATTAAATCCTTGGTTTAGTGGTGTGCTTTCTGGAGATCTTATCCCTTTACATAATGACCTAAGCCTGGAGTACACCTGGGGCTGGTGAATACACTGAGAGGTTCAGCCACTTTGCCCTGAGCACCCTGAGCAGGCACCCCTGCATGATCAAGACACTGTCCTCCCGCTGCATCTGGACACAGCCTCAGAGTCCTTCTCACTCCAGTGCTGGAAAGTCAGGGCTGCACCAGAAGTGAAATCTTTTTGTGATTCTTCTCGCTCTCTTTTTAGAGGTAAGAAAATTAAGATTCAGGGAAAGGTGAGACCTTGGTTGACTCTCACAGGGGTTAGTGGCAGAGTTGGGACCAGAACTCAGGTCTGCTGGGTTCCCCCCGTTCAATGTTTTTTTTTCCTCCCCCCCCTGAAAATAAATAATTATTTTTTAATACAAAATGTATTTAAAATAGTCTGGCTCCTGTAGTACTGTATTCATTTGCCTTCTTAAAACTTTTCATTCTCAGATATGGACAAAAATATGACCCTGAATAAAAACTTTGCCTATTCTCTTTTATCTTGACCCACTCCTATTAACAAGCAGATTATAATTAAAAATAATTTTTACACCCAGCACGTCACAATTTACAAACTGCTTTTCCTATTCTTTATCTCATTTCCTCCCAACCAGACTTTTGATTATTCATTTCACCAGTATTTCTGAGAGCCAGCTACGTGCCAGGTGTAGTCCTGGGCAGTGGGAAAATAAACACAGCCCACATGGTCCTGCCTTGACTGGATTAGCAAAAGGCTCTGTAATCAGATGGCCTGGCTTCAATTCTAGCTCTACCATTTATTAGCTCTGTGTCCCTAAGTCTGTTTCTTCCTGGTGGTTCTTCTTCCAAGTATCCTGAACCTGCCTGGTTTCTGAGGATTTCTGAACTCTAAAATCACAGTTTTTGCTAATTCTTCCTAAAGGAATATGGTGTTTTGTTTTTTTCCTTAGGCAAGAAATTGAACATTTCTAAGCCCGTGAAACAAAAGCCAAGAGATGAAGAAATGATGTATGAGTAAGTGGGGGGAAATCCTTCTGCTTTTTCATTTTGAGAACTGCCTCTTCACTTCCACTCTTGTGCCTACACTTCTGGGCTAGTATGACTTAAACACCCACTTTTCCTGTGCAGCCAGTAAAATGTCATGTCTGCCAACTCTCCCCACTTCAAGAGGAGAGGTCTCAGGGCTGTAGGGGTGCAGGGCACCATCTGGCTTTCTCTGCTCCCCAAGTCCTCCTTCACCTCATCCAGTCCAATAGAGGTGGCAGGTCGGGCTCTGTGTGCAGGGCCCATCATTCAGGGTGAGGTCTACCCTTCTTACTTGAGATGGATGACAAGCGTAGTCCTCTAAAAGTAATTGTGCTGGACAAAAAAATGCCGTTCCCTTTACTTTCGTATTTTGTGATATCTTTGGGGCTCTATGATTGCTGTCCATGTTGGGAGTCCCCAAGGCCACCTTTATGCTGGATGATGCACTAGAAGGATCCACAAGACTCAGAAAAGCTATTACATCCAAGGTTATGGGTTATGATAGTGATAGGATACAGACTAAAATCAGCAAAGGAAGAAGGCGCATGGAGGGAGTCCAAGAAAGACCAGGCACAGCTTCCAGGTGTCTTTTCCTAGTGGAATCACATGGGACGGTGCTTCATTCTCAGTGCACTGCAATAGCATGTGCAAAGCACTGCCAACCACAGAAGCTCACCTGAGCCTTGATTTCTAGGGTTTTTATTGGGGATGAGTCACATAGGCACAGAGCGAAGGCATGACTACTTTAGCTACTCAGTCTCTAGTCCCCCTGGAAGCCAAACTGACACAGCCTGACCCAGGGCCCCAGGCAAACACAAGCAGACACTCTCCATCCATCACCTTGTTAGCATAAACTGGTCGGTCCAAGGCCCCAGGTACACAGACACTCTTATCAGGCAGGATAGTCTAAGAGCTTAGAGGTTATCTCCCAGGAGCTGGTCAGGGGCCAGTCCTTTCTCTGAAATGTACACACTATCTGAAACAAAACCTATGCTTTTCTAATATGACTTTTCTTCAGACTCAAGGGATCCAGCAAATAATAGGCCTCTTCCTCACCAATTCAAATGTGTCATGCAGTTAGGTAACCGAAATACTGCCTTGATTGAGAATGAAACTGGCATTGCAAGATGTGGCTCTTCTCCACAGGCAAGGGCAATTCCTAACTCAAAACCAGGTGAACTTTCCTGCACTAGCAGCCCTGGAGAGTCTCGGGTCTCCTCTGCAGGGCAGCCCTATTCTCTGACTGGCAAAGCCTGGGCAGAATATACAGTAATACCTTGGTTTGCGAGCATAATTCGTTCCAGAAACAAACTACTCATATTGCAAGACATTGCACGTTTACCCAGTTAAAATGTATTAGAAATGTTTGCTTGTCTTGCAGAACACTTGCAATGCATGCTCTCTGCAGTCAGGCCGGTTCTGTACGAGAAAGTAGGAGGAGCTGGCTTTTTCCCAAATGTAGGAGTCAGAAAAATTTCCCTCCTCTCCTAGGAGGAGCCATGGAGGGGTGGAGAGAGGCCACTGATGGAGCTTTTGCCACGTGTCCCCTTCTCCACTCACCCCAACAACCTAAAAATGTGGATGCATTCCCAGTGGGACTTAATCACATAAAGGAGGCCAAAACTTGCCTTGGAAGAATCTAGTACCAGTTTGGAAATCAGAGTACATACAGGGGGATGAGGGTCTAGGTAAGGAGGCTTGCTTGGAGTCTTTTTATTGAAACTTCTTATTGAAATAGAATATGGATACAGAAAAGTGCATGTGGTAAGAGTACAACTCAATGAATTTCCACAAACTGAACACACCCAGATAGCTGGCACCCAGATCAAGAAACAAAATTACCAGCACCTACCTCAACATCTTACATTCCCTTTCAGCCATTACACCCCAAGAATAACCACTGTCTGAAATAGGATGGGTTAGTTTTTTCTTGTTTTTATGCTTTATATAAATGGAGTTATACAGTATGGGTTTTTTTGTTTGGTTTTGGTTTTTTTGGTGTTTGACTTCTTTCGCTCAACAGTTTTTTGTGAGATTCATTGTCTGTGGTTATAGACTGTTCATTCTCATTGCTATAGAGTATTCCACTGTGGGAATATACCATGATGAATTTGTCCATTCTACTACTGAAGGGCATTTGGGTAGTGTCCAATTTGGGGCTGTTATGAATAGTGCTGCTATGAACATTCTAGTACATGTCTTTTGGTGAGCATCTGCAAGCATTTTGGTAGGGTATATTCACAGTAGTGGAACTGCTGCCACATAGTATGTATACAGTTAGCTTTAGGAGTGCATCTGTTTTGCAAATCAAAATACAGCTGGTGCTTACCTTTCGTGTTCAGCCAGCTCAGGTAAGCACAGGAAGGGGTGCTCCATGCTCTAAGTTACAGTGCTTCAACTCCCTTCCCTCAAGTCCTGCTGTTCTCTGGGCTAGAGAAAGTGGTTTCTTTAGAGTGCCAGCTATAAATGGGTGCAAGACCTAGAAAGGGAAAGCAATGCTTCCAGGTTTTAGGGACTACGATTCGAATGTTCAACCCCATCCAATTTCCTTCATGTTTTCCTTTAAATCCACTGACATTGGGCATGGTCAAAGCCAAACACGAACTCCTTCTCTTTCTTTCTCTCTAGGAATGTTCTCAATGATTCACCAGTTCAATTACCCCCTCTGCCACCCAGGGACTTGCTTTCTCAACAAGACACCTGTAAGTATATTCTGCTGATAACAGTCTCATTCAGGGTAGGATAACAGATTTAACTAAATGTTTTAGTCGGCTCAGGCTGCCCATAACAAAATACTATAGACAGGGTGGTTTAAACAACAGAAACTTATTTTCTCACAATTCTGGAGACTAGAAATCCAAGATCAAGGTGCCAGCTGATTTTGTTTCTGGTGAGGTCTGTCTTCCTGGCTTGCAGATGGCTGCCTTCCTACTGTGTCCTCACAAGGCAGGAAGGGCTCTCTGGCATCTCTTTTTATTTATTTATTTATTATTATTATTATTATTATTATTATTATTTTATTGGGGAACAGCCATGGTCATTGGTTACACATTGCTTTCATGCTACAATGGCATAGTTGACTCTTTTAGGGAGAGCGCAGCTCACAGTGGCCCATGCGGGGATCAAACTGGCAACCTTGGTGTTATCAGCACCACGCTCTCACCAACTAAGCTAACCAGTCACCCTTCTGGCATCTGTTTTTATACGGACACTAATCCTACTGGACCAGGGCTGCACGCTTATGGCCTTATTGAACCTTAATTACTTCCTCAGAGGCCCCATCTTCAAATACAGCCACACTGGGGGGTTAGGGCTTCAACACACGAATTTTGTGAGGACACAAACATTCAGTCTGTAACACTAGGATTTGCAGATGGAAGTGACCTGTTTAAAAGAGATGAATAAGTTTAAAAGGGGCAGAGTAAGTACCAATGCTCCCAATATTCAGTGTATAAATTCATATTCAAATCCCAGCTTGGAATATGGACAAAAAGGAACTTGAGGGTGTCTCCGGGCCTCTCACACGTCCCATCAGAAAAACTCTGCCTGGTTTCCTTGACTAGAACATTCTTCCTTAAGCTCTTCACATAGCTGGCCTTACCTCATCCTTCAGGTGTCAGCTCAAATGTTACCACCTCAAAGAGGCCATTCCTGGCCACCCTATCTAGAGCAATCCTGATCATTTTCTTTATGAAACTTATGGCAATTATCAAAATTATCTTATTTAGTTATTATTCATTTGTTTACTTACCTATCTCCCCCACTAAAATATAAACTCTAAGAAATAGGAAACTTTCTTATCTTGTTCACCACTGTTTATCCACCACTGAGAACAGTGCCTGGAGCTTAAATAATCAATAAAAATGTTTTGATTGATGGATAAATAATAATAATAGCTAACATTTATTGAGCGTGCACTGTGTGTCAGGCCCCATGCTGGGCACTTTACAGGCATTAGCTCACTGAATCTTCTCAACAACTCTATGAGGCAGGTACAGTATCTTCTGACAGATGGGGACACTGGGGTACAGAGAAGTTAAGTGATTTACCCGTGGTCACACAGCTAGTGACTGCTGAAGCATGAATGTGAACTCAGATCTGTCTAACTGCAAAGCTCTGCAGGAAATGAAAGGGTAGTGGTTTTTCAGGTTTTCTTAGGAAAAGATGAGATTGTGGGAGAGGCAGTTACAGTCCCCATGAAAGGTAGAGCTAAGCTGTTTTATTATCCTTCCCTTGGCCACCTTAGTCTTTTTGCTATGTACTCATTCTCCACTAATTCCACTTTCTGAAAACACCACTGTTCCCTTCCTTCTTAGTAGAAAGATTTACACATAAACAATTAGCAACAGTTCTACAAAATGGTGTAAGTCATCGTGAGGTGTGTGCCAGAAAGGAAATATGGTTTGTGTCACTTCCTTATGAGAATTAGGATCCACAGACACAACACTATTCAATTGGCTACTAGCTCTGGTCAGTTCCTGGTTTGAGTTTCTGTTTCATGGTTCCCAGGGCAGTGCAGTCAGGCAAAGGGACATCATGGGCGTCAAGGTGTCTGACCAACATTTGCCATTTACTCACTTGGGTGATCCTGAGACTGTGTCATGTCTGTGCCTGTTTACTTTGTAAAAGGGGGATCTGGCCCACCAAGAAGTGGGAAGATCACCAAAACCCATGAAAACCATGCTGAGCCACTTGGTCAAAAATATATAAACACGCAGGAACTTTGCATGTAAGAACCTATTTGTGTATTCTAGGCCCACAGGAAACCCTGAGTAAGCCGCCAGTGATGTACTCATTGGTAAATAAAGTGAGAAATATGAAGACAATTTCCATCCCGAGCTATATTGAGCCTGAATGCGACTATGACGATGTTGAAATCTCTGCAGATATGGAGAACCATCATTTTGAAACCACTGTTTCTTCTTTTTGGCAAGCTGAAGAGGGTTCACACAGCTTATTTTAAAACTATCAAGAATAATTGAACTCCTATAGATGTCCAGTCCGGGAAGCCTGTGGTAATGTTATGAAGCTCTGTAAGATAAGCGCTTCCTGAACCCGAGATAAAGAAACGTCAATCATCAAATGACTGCAGCCACACGAAAGATGTGATGCTCAACTCTGAAGACTGAGAGGAGTCAGGCCTTCTTTTTTTTTTTTTTTTCATGATATAGAAGTTTATTCATTTCCTATGGCTGCTGTAACAAAGTATCACAAACTCGGTGGCTTAAAATGCGCAAATTATCCTCTTACAATTCTGGAGGTCAAAAGTCAAAAATCAGTTTTCTGACCTAAAGTGAAGGTGTCAACAGGGCTGGTTATTTCAGGAGGCTCTTGGCGGCCTTGAGCTTCTGTTGAGCAAGTTTCCATGGGGAGGCCCACCGGGCTCCATGGCTCCCATCCGCGAGAAACCACTGTTCTCCACCTTCTTCCCCTTTTCCTTCCCTTGTTTGTGTGGTTCTAAGTGATCTTAAAGCTTGGTGCTTACTTGTGCAGATCTTCCCAGGCTCCCATCCCCAGCAGGGCCCCCACAGAGCACATGGTCTTTTTCCCACCAGCCCCTCCCACCTCCTGCATTGAGCATCTACAGGTCACTGCGTCAGCCTGGTGAGTTATTCAAGGGTGGGGAGTGCTTGTTGTTCTTGTGAAGCTCCTCACCAACACACACTTCAAACCCCAGTGCCTCTTTATTACATTGGCCAGAATTACCACAGAGATTCAAGTTTTCACCCAGGTTTTTTCCTGTGTTTCCTGGTTGCACCAAAACAATCAACAAAGGACAGAAGTTACTTTCTGGACCGAAGGACCGACGTTACATGTAGAGGTGTCATTTTGCAATGTGTGTATTGGGCTATAGGAAAAATAGTTTTCCCCAGGAAAAATCATGGGGAACAGAAAAGAAAAGGGCGATTAAATGGCAGATGCAAGATGAGAGCTCAGCGGGTTTTACTTCCCTCCTCCATCATTTTCATTACTGTTTCCTCCCCTATATAAAGTTCTATGCAAACAGCGCCTAGACGCTTCTTCCAGGTCATGGTCCCCACTGTCTGGGAGGCAGAAACTCTAGTGTGATGAGCTGCAGCTAGTAAGATGCCAAAGGGAAATGGGCTGCTGTCCTGTTAAATAAGTGTCCTAGTGTGGTCACTGAGACCCAGTCAGCTTAGTAGGCTCCTGAACCTCATCAGTTCTTTCAAGTTAACTTGAGCTTAACACGTTCTAACCAGAGCCCTAGAGCTTAACGCTTTCTAACCAGACTCACAAGATGCTGATTTCTCATCAGTCCCTGAGAAATCCAGCTAACGAGCAAGCGCTTGGGAGAGCACGATAAACAGTGGAAAGGCCTGGGAATAGCTCTTGCCTTGGATTGAGCTCCTCCTCAAGAGATGGAAAGCGTGTTCCTGCCATATCAAGCTTCCTCTCTCAATCAACGCCAGACCAGTTCTTTCTTTCTAGACTCCATGGAGACTTTTAGCTCCTTTTTTTAGGCCACTGGTTCCCTGACTATGGCCTTATGAGTGTCTAGGATTCCATGAACCAAAGAGAGGACCTCTTTTCCCAAATTATAGAAAATAAGCTAATGGATAGAAGTGTTTTCGCATGTATGCTTTCCCCTTATAAATTTTCTGTCAGTCTTCATGACAAAAGTTAAAAGCAAATACCAGATAAATGTTAACTCCTCCTTGCTTTCTGAGACTTCTCCTGGCTCTCCTGCCTGCCTGTCCTTTCTCAGCCTGGTTTGTGAGCCCCCCTCTCTCTGAAATATCTCTTTAATGTTGGTCTTCCTCTGGGTTCTCTCCCGCTCCAAACACTCATGAGTGATCTCACCAAGGCCCATGGATTCAGAGCCCCTCTATTCTGATGCCTTCCAAATCGCAGACCTTAGCTGAGCCCTCTCCTCAGTTCCAGACCAAGTGGCCTCCAGGACATCTCCATATGACCCCACCCCCACCCGCCAGGTCTCTCAAGTTCAATATAAACTGAAAGGAACTAATTACCTACCCCACGGGCTCTGCTATCTTCTTCGTTGCTGACTAGCATACTATCTAGAGTCCTTTCCAATGTTCCCCACCTCCTATTGATTGCACCTTTCAAAGAACTCTCCAATCAGTCCAGATGTCTCCATCGCCACTCCTGGGTCAGGTGTTACCAGCACTTGCCAGGAGAACTTTAATAGCCTTCCAACGGGTCTCCTACCTCTGGCGTCTCACCCTCCAATCCCCTTTCTACATGGCAGCCAGTGGTTTTCTAACATGAATGTCTGACCACTTTATTCCCTTGCTTAAAGTTCTTAACCCATTATCCTCAGAAAAAGCCCAAACTTCTTAATATGGGTTATAAGATTTGCCCGGATCTGGTCACCAGTTATCTCCTGCCAACTCTCTCCTTCCCTACCCCCTTGCAACTTCCACCGTGCCCACATTTTTGTTCTGGCCACTTAAAATGACCTTGTCTGTGGTCTCTCTTGCCCTTATGGATATGCACAGTACTCTCCCCTCTGTCTGGAACATTCTTCCCCATTTTCTGATCCCTCCCATCTCTGCTTAGATCCTTTCCTCACCACTCCTAATTTGGCTCTGGTGCCCTCTTAGATGATCTCCTCTCATAACGTCAGCATGCTGTAATTACCTGTCTACCTGTCTTTCTCCTCCACTGGACTGAGCACAGCATGAGGACAGAGACTACACAGTCTCTTTCCCCCATTGTTCCCTCTGTTCCCAACACAATGCCCAGGCACTGCAGATGCTCAATAAACTTGTTGAATAAATGATCAGTTGAATGAATGAATGAATGAATGAATGAACTGCTCTGGGATCTCACCAATCCATGTACTTGTCCCTCTGGAAACACTTCTCCCTCTGCATTATAATAGCCTGGTAAATTTTCCATTCTTCTTTCTAATCTAGAGCTCCTTTGGGGTGGAACTTGTGTGGTTCACTGCCATGTTCCAAGTCTCCAGCATATAATAATATGCTGGTACATAATAAGAATTTAATAAATATTTGTTGGATGTTGGACATTAATGGAAATTCTATCAATCAGTTTGACAAAACAATCAAGCAGTTTTTATCTGGGCGTGTGTAATTTGGTTGAGATTTTCTTCTGGGCACTTGTAATAAAGCCGCATTTTCTGCCAACAAAGTTGTTACCAGTTTGGATGATAGAATTAAATATATCAAGATTTCACAGGACCTTTTTCTGTACCCTAACCCCATAGGAAACCCCAAGTCAGCCATCAGCTACATACTCATAAAGTTAGAAATAAAAAGACAATTTCCACCCTGAGCTATGTGTAGCTTAAAGATGATTATGATGATGTCAAAATCACTACAAATATTCAAAACCATCATTTTGCAACAACTCCTGTTCTGCCACCTTAACTGTTTTGGGAACTGATGGTTCACTCATACCACAAATCAGTGGATTATAGTTTTCTTTTAAAAAGCTAGCAGTCTAGGCCGGCCGAGTGGCGTGATGATTAAGAACTGGCTTGGGATGCCAGAGGGCCCCGGTTCGGATCCCACATATGAGGGCCAGTGACACTGCCCTCTACAGCTAAGTTGCTGAACAACAGCTCAACCTGGAGCTGGGCTGCCATGAGTCGCCGGCAACGGCATAGGCTGCAGCCCCTGTGGCAGTGGGTTGCCATGGGCTACCGTGTGTAGCCAGCAGCCTGCGTGAGCGGCGAGCAGCTGCAGTGAGCAGCCATCCAAAAGCCAGCGACTGATCTGTCTTGCCTGGGAAGAGCGCAATGATGGTGCCATCTTGGGCCAGTGAAGCAACGTCCTCCACAACTAGACTGAAGACCAAAACGACAGCAACTTGTCTGTTCCCCTTCCCCCAATTCCCCAGCACTGTTCCCATCCCCACAACTCCCCAATTTTAAAAAATAAAAATAAATTTTTAAAAAAGCTAGCATTCTGATCTTTATGATACAAACAAGACTGTTTTTTAAGGAATGCCCTGGTATTATCAGCAACAAGTTTTACAAATCATGTGTATCAGTTAGTATGTTTTAGGCTGCAAGGAACAGACTATCCAACTAAAGGCAACTTAAACAATGAGGAATTTATGACCTCACAAAATAAGAAGTCTAGAGGTAAGCACTCCAAAATTCAGCCACCCTAAGCTTCAGGAATGGGCTGATGTTTCTTTGATTCTCTTAGCTTTACCCTCGTGGTGGAAGATGGCTGCCATAGCTCCCAGCATCACATCCTCACATGACAACATTCAAAGTTAGGAAAGAAAAGGGCATTTCTTCTTATGTAGCTCTTTTTGTTAGAGAGAAATATCTTTCCCAGAAGCCCCCAGCAACTTTCCCGAATGTCTCATTGCCCTGGATTAATTCACATGCCCAGGTATTGAAAAGGCTGGGGAGTGAACATTGCACATTTTCAGCCTTTCTGGATTTCATCAAGGAAAAAGGAGAGAACAGCTGCTGGATAGGCAACCTGCCACCTTTCTGGGTCAATTCCCTTTCACAAATTCGTTGCTTTTTTTCAATTACAGTCTCAGAATTGTTGGGTAAGTTCAGGGTAAGATTCTACCATTTACCCTTCTCACAGCATTTTGGCCAATAAGAATAGACAAAGGACTGTCAGCCAGATGAGGATAATAACAATAACAGCAATAGCAACAATAACAGGAGCCCATAGTGACTGAGTATTTCCTCTGTGTCAGATTCTAAGGGCTTCACTGTACAATGTAACCATGACCTTCAACAGTCAGGACTCGTGGGATGTAATCACAGAGGAGATTCATCCTCCTTCCACTTCCTTACCCTTGCTATTCCTTGAAACCCACTCTGATGGGCTAATTCTTTCCTGATGAAATATCAGGCAGGTGCCATTGGCTTTTCTAGTTGCTCTTAGATAGTAAAATGTCCTCCAGGTATGTTTTATACAGAGGCATACATCTGTCAAATGCACACTTAAGATTCCTGCCTTTCAACCTAAGTAAATTTTACCTCAAAAGAAAAAAAAACTGTAAACAAATATTGAAGTCTGGTTAATGATATGCATCTAGGGAGAAGTATACTGATGTCTGCAATTTACCTTGAAATGCACCCAAAGACAAGAGGGTAATAGAGTCTGCACTTTCAGGCCTGAGATTAAAATAAAAACAAGAGAGATTCCTTGTTCTCACCCTGTGTGCAGGTGGGCCTGGGTCTGCAGGGCAGCTCCACCCCATTGCTTACCCACTTCCTGAGAAGAAAAAATGGAGGAGTACCTGCACATGTGTCAAAGAGAGGGGCTGGAACCTGTTCTCCCTTTTGAGGCGAAATAACTCCATTCATATTCTCAGCAAATTTCTTAGCTTCAACTCAGTCAAGTACGTCCCACCCCTTTCTCTCCTCCTCCTCTATGGAACTTGAGAGAAAGAGGATAAGACTCCCTCCTGACTATGGATGACCTTCTCCTGACCTTGCTCTGTGGTCCTCTCCAGAGTTACTGAGGGGCAGCAGTTAGAGCAGTGACCTGGGGTCTGCACAGCTCTGCCTCCATGGTGGAAGCTCTTCACATCCTCAATATTGATTCCACTCTTTCCAGCAAAAGCCCCAGATTTTCCTATTGGATCCACTTCTTTCTCTTCTCTCAGTCAGTGCCATTTTTATAGAGCCTCACCCCAACTCAGGAGGACAGCATGTGAAACAGACTGGCCAGTCGGAGATTCTCATGCCACTGGCCACACTGACTGATTGGTTGATGCTTTGAGTACCAGGGCAAGTGTTCTTTTCCACTGGATTTGAAGCTGAGGGGATATATGTTCTCTCATCCCCTCGGTGGAGCACACCGAGCTGGGCTAAGAAGAGAGTCCAGATTCTAATGCCATTGTTTGAGCTACTGTCTGCAGTCATGCTTGCTGTAGGCTTAACCTCTGAGTTTTTTAGTTACATGAGCCAATATTCTTTAAAAGTTTCAACTCGCCCCTTAAAGCCCATCCCCACTATCACTGCCTAATTTTGGTCTTGTCATCTTTCCTGTGGCTTAATGCAAAAGCTTCTTGACTGTTTTCTCCTCCTCCAATCTATCTTTCACTTGCTGTCAGAGTGAGCTTTCTTTTTCTTTTTTTAAAGATTTTATTGGGGAGTTGGGGGAGGGGAACAGCACTGGGGAACCGGGGGAAGGGGAACAGACAAGTTGTTGTCTTTTTTTGTTCTTCAGTCTAGTTGTGGAGAACGTTGCTTCACTGGCCCATGTTGGTATTATCATTGTGCTCTTCCCAAGTGAGGCAGATCTGTCGCCGGCCTCTGCACGGCCGCTCACGGCGGCTCTTGGAAGCTCACGCTGGCTGCCAGCCACACACAGTAGCTTATGGCAGCCCACTGCAGCCGGGGCTGCAGCCTACACTGTCGCCAGTGACTCACGGCAGCCCAGCTCCAGGTCGAGCTGTAGTTCACCATCTTAGCTGTAGAGGGCAGTGTCACTGGCTCTCATGTGGGATCCGAAACGGGGCCCTGCTGCTCAGAGCTGGCGTCCCAAGCCAGCTCTTAACCAACGCGCCACTCGGCCGGCCCCAGAGTGAGCATTCTAAAACACAAATCTGATTAGGTCATAGCCCTGCTTAAAATCCTTCAGTGGCTCCCTGGTGTCTACAGGGATTAAATCCACACTCCCTAGCACACTCTGCAAGACCCTGATAACCTGGTCCCCCCTGGGCTCATTCCCACCACACACTCTGACCATGGAAAGCCACTTGCAGCTCCCGCGAAGCATCAGGATGGTGCTAAGGCTTTGTATGTTCTCTTCTTTCTGCTGGAAACACCCTTTTCCTCCTTCTCTACCTGATAAACTGTGGTTCACCCCTTAGCACCCAGCCGGAGCATCACTTCCTCAGAGAGGTCTTTCCACACTGGGTCAGGCACACCCTTCCTCAGCATTTCTCTTGCACTTATCACAATGCATAATTATCCCCATCTTGTGCATATACGTTTCTCCTTTCCATTAGATACTGCTCCTAAGGATTAGGATCGTATCTTAGGGTTACTCTACATTCAAATAAAGTCAGTAATCCAAAAGGCCAAAACCAGCAATTTTGGTTTATCTTCACCTTGAAAGGATCCACTATCTAGAACTCCACGTTTAAACATATTCACACCTGGATTAACAACTTGAGTGACCATGATCTGCTGGGAGTCTTGTAATTAACATAAATAACTTCTCTACCAAAGACTCTGTTCCCTCAGCCCCACCAGGAGCTGACAGATGAAAAACTATTGCCACTTGTTCTAGTGATGCATGTTGCATCAGAAGTATTATTACTGCTCAGATATGTGCCCTGAATTGTGATGTGCTTCAGTTTCTAACCTATCCCATCCATTTCCCTGAGTGCACACATGTGTACTCTGTCGTGGCCTAGTGGTAGCATGAAATCTCACCTAGATTTACACTTGATTGTGGAAAGCCCTCCACCATAAATAACAGGTAACAACTGACTGTGGCCACATTTCATTTTACTAGAACAGAGTGTGCAAATCACTACATGCAAAACCATTTTAAAAAAACAGCCAATTAGCATCATCACACCTTGGCCCTTCAACTGTAAAACTCGGTTTTTTATATTTACCCACATTTTATTTCCAAAATTTAGTGCAGTTAAAATTTTAGATCAGCTATACTTGAACAATTTAAATATTCTACAATCACATAACAACACTAAATAACCTTGGTCACTTGGTGACCTATAAACTAACAGCCTTTGAATTTATTTTAACGCTAGATGTCTTAGCATTGTTTTTTTACAAATTGGGTGTCAGTGGAACATGGCTTAGGTTTTAACAAAAATTGCAGAAGGTATTATTTAAGAACAATGAAATTCCCCTGATGGAAAAAAAAAAGTTCATTTGCATAACTTGTACATTTCTACCTCCCACGAGGCACCAAACAAAAATAAATTTTCCGATACATTTAATGTTGACACGCTACAACACTATTTTCCGTGACCAAGAAAAACTTCCTCTGAATACATGAAAAATAAATATTACCCTGCATTTCTCACTACTGTTTAGAAAAGACACTGAATCAATATTTCATAGATCAAATCTGTTGTAGCACTGGACTGCTTTAATAATAATTGCACAATTCTGTAAAATTTGAGATTTGCCTAAAAAAAAAAACACCCCAACTGTATACAGGTTTTTTAAAGGGCTGCTTTAGCCACTTTGGAGAGCAATTTGGCAACATCTAGTAAAACTGAAAATGTGCATACTCTATATGATCCAGCAACTACTTCAGGATACATACCCTAGACCAGCGGCTTTTTAACTTTTTGGTACCAGGCCTCCATTACATTCCTAAAAGTGACTGAGGACACCAAAGAGATTTTGTTTATACAGAAGATATCTGTTGATATTAACATTATTGGAAATTAAAACAGAAAGATTAAAAATATTTATTAGTTCATTTAAAATAATAAATCATCACATTAATATAAATAACATTTTTTAAATAATTTTAAAATTTTTTAAACATTTTAAA